AAGGATAAATCTCCACAGTCGACATCAAAAGCTGAACACCCTGGATAAAGGTTATTATCGGGGATCACCAATTGTCTTATGGCTTTTTTTTATCTTAGCAATAGATGTAGTATATGATAGCCGTTCAAAAATCGGCCTCTGTGGTAAGTTGTTGATAAGATTCTCGACTCCATGTTCAGAACATCTGAGAAATGTGCTACCCAGTGTTTACTGATTTCTTTTTTGTCCGTTAGAAGGTTGCCCTAGGAAGAAAAAAAATGAGTCTTGAGACATTCTTAGTTTCTGCTAGAATGATTTAAAGTCTCCTCTATCTGCAGTATCATGCTATTCTTGTGCCGTCTCTCGCCACCATGCTTGTTTTATTTGCGGTAGTTGAAATTGGCTTAGATTTCTGGATTTTTTTTCCTTCATTGCGTTTTGTGACATTGTTCTTGTCTGATGTCTATTGACGATGGTACTTGCATATATTATCCAAAAGACGGAAAAATTCTTGGATCATTTGAGTCATACCAGTGTTAACATAGTCTTGACATAGCCAAGCGTTTTCTCGGATGATTCGTGTACAACATTTTTGAAATAACAGACCATGTTTATTCAATGTCTGCACTGCGCGGTATATCTGCAAGCTTGCTGTTATAAAGGGCCTTAAAAGATTTTAAGTAATCAATGTTGCTCAGCTTTTTGACATCTAGTCCGAGCTGGCAGAGTGCGGTTGTTACGAAGCGGACTACGGATTCGGAAGCAAACCTTGGATTGTATTAACCCATAGTCAGACCAACACTCACCATTGGAAAAAGAAAGTTATTTTTACATCCTTCCTAGATGAAGATCTCACGATCACATAGTCGATGAGATGATATTGTTTGGGATATGTCGCGATACAGTCTCGACGTCTGTCGAACTCTCTGCTTTGCCAGAGAGGAACCCGGATGAAGCTTTGCCGAAGGGCAAGGTTTCGTCCGGGGAGGTAGACAGGCCCTGAAACCGTCTAGGCTGGTATATTTTTGGCCGAGCCTACGGGCTCGGAGAAACCCACCCTTGTGCCACATATATTCCTCGTGGGTGGGATATTAAATACCTAAATACCGAGATGATATTGGTTGGATCTGAGATGTCTTCAGATACTTTTGCGGTGTTTATGAAAACTGAAAGACGGTGTTGGTAATTGTTATGGCCTAGGTTAGGACCAAGGAAGAACAACACGAACACAAGAGTGAAAAATAACGAAGGTATATTACACGAATTAATAATACAAGATGTAGAAGGTGTTAGTATGACTGTCCGTCTGGTTTGGAGTGAACTACTATCGGCTCGACTCGATTCGACCCTCTCTCTTGAGAGGCGTAGTATACATAGTGTTAGGAAGAGTTCATTCTGTAGTTATAGGTAAGGACCCATGACATTATTATTATTTGTTATGGTCCACGTTAGGACCAAGGAAGAATAACACGAACACAAGAGTAGAAATAACGAAGGTATATTACACAAAATAATAATACAAGATGTGGAAGGTGTTAGTATGACTGTCAGTCTTGTTTGGAGTGAACTACTATCGGCTCGACTCGATTCGTCCAGTTCACCGCTGAAATTTTTAACGTAAACATTAGTAAATTTCTTGTATTTGTCACCAAGCTGTTGCATTCTTTCTTTGCGTGGAATAAATTTGCCGACATAGACTTTCTTACCATTAAGCAACATGCCATTAACTTTTTCGATAGCGTTGCGCGCCGCTTCACCAGTTTCGAAGTGCACGAATCGATATCCTTTGGAGCCATTTTCATCAAAAACGATTTTGCAGGACAGGATGTTGCCGAAGACAGAAAAAATATCGTAGAGAGCTTTGTTATCAATACTTTTATCCAAATTTTTGATGAACACATTAGTGACACCAGATTTACGAAGAGAAGGATCTCATCCCCGTTGCCACTGTTATGGTCCAGGTTAGGACCAAGGAAGAACAACACGAACACAAGAGTAGAAATAACGAAGGTATATTACACGAAATAATAATACAAGATGTGGAAGGTGTTAGTATGACTGTCAGTCTGGTTGGGAGTGAACTACTATCGGCTCGACTCGATTCGACCCTCTCTCTTGAGAGGCGTAGTATACATAGTGTTAGGAAGAGTTCATTTTATAGTTATAGGTAAGGACCCATGACAGTAATAAAAAAATTCACACTTACTACAAAGGGATAACAGTTAGCCTTACCAACATCATTGCTTACTGATTGCACTACTCCATACTGATGAATCGTAAGCTACGCGTGCATTGAAATCGCCCAGAAGAAGTTTGTTATGGATGGAAGTACTTCTCAAACTGGTTGCGTAATTCAGAGTAGAAATTCTCCTTAATTTCGTCTCTAGATTTCATGGTTGAAACATAGCAACGAAAGATGGTTGCATACTTATTTCTACCAATGCAAATAAGTCTCTCATTGATGCCAACGGGTAGGGATTACAAATGTTTCACCAGGTCGTTCCGAATAGCAAACCCGCCCCCCGCTTCTCTCTTATCTGTCAACAGGAGGAGGCACGGTGAGGTAATGGATAGCGGCTAGGATTGAGGAATCGGAGAGCCGAGTTCGAATTCCAGTCGAATCCATTACATTCACTTACGTGCTAATACCCTTGGGAAAGGTGTGAATCCTCTTCTTCTCCCTCCAGCTATGGGGAAATAGCAGGACAGACTGGGTTCTATAGCCTTGGATGGCAACTGGTCTAGGAGAAGGAAAACTCTGAATTCAAACCTGCTCTTAGATGAGGGTGAATGGAGTCTCTCTGAGCCTTGGTTGGCAATCCATTTAGTGATGATGTCACGATAAAAACACCCTTGATAGCCCTAGCGAAGCATCAAGAATTCAGCTATTTGACAAGATTATGAACTACATCAATCAAAGTATTGGTGAGTTCAATCTCGTCTGAGGCCGCAAGATGATCTGTCAACAGGCTTACCAATCCAGAATCAATCTTACATATCTATAAGTTTACTGTTCGTCCATGATTAGAAGAATATTGCTGCTACATATGGTCCGGTGCCTCTGCTATTTATCTTGAGCGCCTTGATAAGACCCAAAGAAGAATCTGCAATATTATTGGTCCTGATCTAACGGCTCAGCTTTAACCACCTTCCCACCGCCATATGTCTTTTCTATAAATACTTTCATGATAATTGTTCGAATGAGCTCTTCGCTCTGGTAGCTAGATGTTTTGAATTTAAGCGCAGCAATGGACTGGCGTTGAGATCTCATCAGTTTACAGTTGAGCTGGCTAGATTTAGCCATAATCAGTTTCTTTTCTCGCACTGCTCGTTTGCAGAATTACCTTCCGGCTCCATGCTTCCCAGCCAACTTTAACCTGCAAAAATATAAATGCAATGTCAATCGCTATCTACTGTTCACCCGATTACTATCTTCTCTGTCTGCTCATCATTAATGTTTCTGTTACTAATTCTTTCATACCATGTAACTCCTTTTACTTTAGCGGCATTACTGTCTTGCTTAGGGTGATTCAGATTATATATATATATATATATATATAACCTAAACAAAATCAACTATGGAATCTCTACAAATATCCTTAAATGTCTATAATTGGTAACAGAAGACACTGGTTTATACCAACGGCTTCCCATACTTAATACTTCTCGAATTCACTCTCGCGTGGTCATGTGTGACGTCATGAGCTGCGGTGCGGTTTTCGCTTCTAGCATCTTATATGCACGAGTTTGACGTTGCTTGGAAATCATTCATGTAAACAATGACAGACTACCATCACTGTCTTGTCCGTATATTGCTTAGTATGTTGTACAGCAATTAGCATCTTTGATAATGGCTTATGTAAGCCAAAAGCTTAGATTGGATTAAAAAATATGGATCAATATTGTGATTTTCTTCCTTCGTTTAATGATAATGTTATTAAGCTTATCAGACGTTATGATAAGAATTTACATAAAATAAATAGACAACACTTGTCTATATTATTTAATGAAACGTGTATGAATCTCTCTCTCTCTCTCTATATATATATATATATATATATATATATTGTTTAGGACGTCATCGAACTAAATTTGTTATATTGTTTTAAAATTTAATTTTTTTTAAACATTTTAAAATTCCCAGCATCCCTCGTTCGTTCGACTGTGTAGTCGCACCAACATAGCAAATTTAGTTCGATGAAGACTTAAAGGACGAAACGCGTCACCTTTTTAAAATTTGTCATACATTTTTCCCTTTCTTGATATATAAAAATGTATCGTTATCTCTCTATATATATATATATATATATATATATATATATATATATATATATATATATATATAGAGAGAGAGAGAGAGAGAGAGAGAGAGAGAGAAAGAGAGAGAGAGAGAAAGGGTGAGATTACACAAGACGCATTTTAAATCATCCGTTGTTTTAAAATAAATAATTTATCACCATCAGTAACATTATTTTTAAAGGCGTTTTTCTTAAGTAGAAAAAATTTCTTCGAATTTTACGAATGAGATGTTTGTTTTTTAGCTTTCTGAAAATTGACGTCTTCTTTTCTCTTTTTTTTTTATCTGTACTTTTCTGTAACCTCCACCCATTCGCTTTTTCCTACACCGTCCGACACAAAAAGAAAGAAACAAACAAAAATTCTCACTTCCCAAATATCCAGTGGTTCGTTCCGCCACCCCGTGCCCGTTTTCTGCTCCGCCCCCTCCTCCACTTTCTTGCTCATAGACAAACAACTGTCCTCTGAACCTTAACCTCCTCTTTTCTTAACCATTCAGCAATGGCGGCGGTGACAGCAGCAGTGGTTTGGGATGGAGGATGGCGCTGCACTTTGGGGAGTCAGTTAATAAGTCTTGTCGATTCCCCTCTGACGCATTTGGTAGCCATTAATATCGCTATAGAAGAGGAGTCGCTTTTATTAGGGCGAATAAATGTTAATTTAAAAATTGCCCCTCCTTCGGCTAAGGAATGGGTGAGGAAAAGAAAGATGTATTACTGAGTGAG